AGTGTGTTATCTTGTTGTTTATTTTATTAATTATTATTTCTACATTATAATAATAAAAAACAAAGGATTCTAGGCAATCAGATCTGTTACATTTATTATTTTCCATGAATCGAGTTCAAGTTATCCAGGGCAATGTCAAGTAACAAATTTAATAACAGTACATGTATTGGTTTATTTATAAACATATGTAAAAACTATAAACACGATTAATTATCTTTATTAATGAGCTTTTAATTGATAAATTGTGAATGTTGGCCGGACATTTTTAAACTGTTTACCAATTAATTAATATTTAAATGGGCAATACAAAGAATCGGCTGTTTTTTTACATACAGTATTACTTGCAGTCGAATTGTAGCTTTGTTACATACTATTTTATTTAATGAAGTTATTTTTATTATAAATTAACTCGAAAGGTTTAAGATGGCTGCCAAAAGTGAACTGTGATAGTTTTAGTGATTGGAAATTGTGAACGCATCTAGTTTGTTATAACCTAATTCACCTTGAAGTTTGATTTGAGGTTAAGTTCGAAGTTTACCAAAGGAAGAAATGTAAACTTTGCCTTTTGCATGACAATCAAAATTAAAGGAAGTAGCCAAGGATCTTCTAAACGAAATCCTGGTGTTTAAGGACCTTTTATCCTTTAACGTACTGGGTAAATAATAATGACTGGCAAACGACGTCCAAGTAGTACTCAGGGAAGCCCTAAGTTGAATTTTCGACCACAAACAAATGAACTGAGGACAGAACAACGTGGCACAAGACCCACCAGTAAACCAACGTCGATTAAAGAAATCCTGACCCTAATGGTGCTCCATGTTTGCAGGAAATCCTTATTCTTTGACACTAATCTCAAAGTTGGAATATACTTGGGGGCCTTGTTTCTTATATCGTTAATAGCCGATGTAATCCCAATACCTAAAGGATACCTAGCACGATCTGACAACGTCTTTAACCAATACTTTGTTAAGATTGCCTGGTTCTGGAATATACTGCTACTTACACCATTCCTCATTCTGACATCTTATGTTTATTGCTGTGGACAAAAGGACAGGATTGTGAAGCATCATCTTGTCAGGCTGGTAATTGCAACCTTTTTCTGGTATTTCTGGACGTCATTGTTCAATTATATTGAATCCAAATATGGAATTTGTACCTTGAAAGGAGAACAATCGAAAGCAAACTGCTTGAAAGCAGGTCATTTCTGGAATGGATTTGATCTTTCTGGACACTGTTTTATCCTAATATATGGCAGCTTATGTTTGATAGAAGAAGCCAGGTGTGTCATTAACTGGGATAAGATCAAAGAGTATATCAGGAATGAAGAGCACTTTCGTAAATCAGACCCAAATGAACACCACAACAGTCCTTTAAGGTTCCTTACAGAAGAAGAGTTCAGCACTTTAAAGGAAAGCTATGAGAAGTACACACCTTACATAAGAGCATTGTTTGTTGCAATAACACTGTTGCAAATATTGTGGGATATTATGCTAGTTTGTACTATGCTTTACTACCATATAATGATAGAGAAGCTGCTTGGAGGAGCTCCCGCAATTCTTACCTGGTTTGCCACCTACAAGCTATGGTATGATTCTCACAATTTATTGCCAAAGTTACCAGGAGAAGGTTTATTCAAATATAACAAGGTAAAGACCGGTTTGCAGCCTGCTGGAAGGAGAAGAATTGGAAGTGTTACAAATGGGATTCCCCAGTTCATGGGGATGCCATTGTACAGTTTTAGAACTGATGCAGGTCCCACTGGATCTGCAGAATCTCAATTAGAAGAAAGCTTTTAAAAATATATAATTAATCAAGGGTTGTGAAGGTGGTAAAGGGAATGTTTATACTAAAACACCACTGTCCATTTACAAGTTTTAATGGTTATACCTCTCAGTACCTGTTCCTGTGGGATTTTATAATATATCATATCATATATTGGTAAAATCAGTGTAGGGTACATACATACAAATTTTGTTTTGCATTTTTAAATATTTTATTTATTGTATTTGTTCCATATTGCTATATGGGTGTTGCATTACAATTAATTTGATTTCATTTAAAGGTAGCTTGCCATTGTAATTAGTATGGATGTTAATTGGTATTTTTTTTTATAAATAGGGGTTTAAGTTATACTATGCTTTGTAATTAGGAGTTTTGCAAATTCTGTTGTTTGTTACGTAAATGTTGATATGTATTTTAAATGCTTTATAGCCGTTAGTGTTTATTTAAGTAAAGGACAAAAATTAAATGGAAATTACAGTAAATGTAATACATATATTATATTTATATATAATAGAGAGCACAATTTCTTTATAAGAATTTGCATGATTGGTGTCCGAATATTAATAAATATTTTTTACGTCGAACTTTGTTTTTTTATTTGATATTTTCCTATATACTACATATATTATAGTTAATACATAATAAAAGTTTATTAAAACTGATTGAAATACTTTTTTAAATTTATGTAACAAAAGTTGCCTAACTTACATAAGTAAGGCAATGGAAATTAGAACAGGGTCGGATTTAGAGAAAAATTGTACACAAATAAAACCGAACAGGTTCGAAATTAGGGAATTTAAATCACACAAAAAATAATGTTCCCTTGTATACTCTGCATGCTTTTTTCATTAAAAGAAGAACCAAATGTAAGGAAAAGACTGAAATTTTACTACGTAACTGCTTTCTTATCAATATTATCGATGTTTTGCGTTTTACTGAATTATTATACTAGTAATTGATTATGAGTTACAGTTTTCTTCTTTATGTAGTGTGTATTATTGCTTTTTTTTTTCGTTTTAATTTAGAAACCAGCTTCCACAGTTCGATTCTTTAGTCGTACCGATTATTATACTGTTCATGGGGAAGATGCTGTGTTTGCTACGCAAGAACTATTCAGCACGCATCCCATTAAATACATGGGGGAAACACCCAAACTTAGCTACCTGGTTCTGAGTATTAATAATTTCGAAAAATTCATTCGTGAACTTCTCCTTGTTAAACAGTACAGGGTAGAAATCTATGTTAAACCTAAAGAGGGTAAAAATAATGACTGGGTCTTAAAATATAAAGGGTCGCCAGGAAATCTATCTCAATTTGAAGACATACTTTTCGAAAATAATCAGATCGCAGTCAACAGTTGCGTTATTGGGGTTAAAATATTCAAAAATAAGGTAAAAACTGTCATGACCAAAGCACGATAGCGAAATAATTTCTGTTTTGTTTGAAACGTTCCAGATGTTAGCTGTAAGTTGTGTCAATATTACAGAAGGTCAATTTCAAGTTTGCGAATTTAACGATAACGAATTTTTCACTGAGCTTGAGGCTTTGTTAGCCCAGGTTAGCCCAAAGGAGGCTATCATTCCTTCCGCTGATACGGGAGACTTAAAAAATCTTCAAAAGGTATTAGAAAGAAACGGAGTGCTGGTAGTTAAAGCCAAAAAAAATGATTTTAACGATGACGATTTTGTCCAAGATCTAAATCGTTTATTATATTTTGACGAAAAGCAGCAAAGAAACGCTCTGGCATTTAGCGAAACTTCACTGAAAGAGGCAATGGGCAGTCTTCAGGCCGTCGTGAGGTATTTGAATCTCATAGCTGACGAACAAAATTACAATCAATTCAGGCTTAGTATGCTAGATCTTCGTCGATATGTTCGACTTGATAACGCCGCTGTGTACGGTCTAAACCTGTTGCCCCAAATGGAACAGAGAGGTTTCAGTAAAAAGACTAACAGCATTCTTGGCATGTTAGATAGTTGTTTGACGGTCCAAGGGAGAAGGTTGCTGGAACAGTGGGTCAGACAACCCCCTAGAGATATGAACATAATAACTGAACGTTTAGAAATTGTCCATGCTCTCGTTGAGAACTCAGAATTTCGGGAAGTTCTCCGCGCAAATCATCTATCCCAAATTCCCGATCTTTTGATTCTTTCGAAAAAAATGGTGAACAAAAAGACAACCCTTCGCGATCTCTATAGGGTGTATCAGGCGGCAAACCATGTTCCTGGGCTGGTGAATTCTCTTCGAAAATGTGAAAACAAATACGTGAATGCGGTTCTTGCCGATCCCATAGCCGAATTCCTCGTCGATATGGAGAAGTTTCAGTCCATGATCGAGCAAACTATCGATTTGGATTTGGTGGATCGTGGAGAGTATTTTCTTAAGCCTACTTTTGACGAAAAGTTAGGAGGTAGGTGTTCTAGGTAATTAACCGTTAGTATCACCTGAATTAATCGTTCTAATTTCATAAATCAGAAATACACGACAAAAAGCAGCGACTGGAAGAAAAGATACAAAAAGTGTTTAGGCGCGCTTGCGACGAACTCAACATGGAAAAGGGCAAAGGGGTTAAATTAGAATGTAACGACCAACACGGTTATCACTTTAGAGTCACTCTGAAAGAGGAATCGAGTTTGAGAAAACAAAAGTCTTTCCAAATCATCGACTCTCTTAACAAAGGAGTCCGATTCACGAACGAGAAACTGAGTGAAATCAACGAAAGATACATGGAATTGAATAAAGAGTACGAGGATGTTCAAAAGAATTTGGTAAAAGAGATTATAGACGTTGCAGGTTGGTTGCTACACAAACATATCAATTTTGGTATCGTATATTAATCTCAATTAATTCCCAGAGGTCTAAAAATTTTTTTTTATCCTAAACAATTATTTTATTTAGCTGGTTATGCCGACACCCTCCGCAACCTAAACCACTACATGGCAAAAGTAGATGTGTTGGTATCGTTTGCGACGGTTGCCGCAACCGCCCCCATACCTTTCGTAAAACCGAAACTCCTTAAGGAAGGTTCGGGAGTTTTGCGATTAAAAAAAGTCCGGCATCCGTGTCTCGAACTGCAAGACGGCGTCACCTTCATACCGAATGATACCCATTTCAAGGACGGCCAGAAAAACTTCTACATCATAACCGGCCCGAATATGGGCGGCAAAAGCACTTATATAAAAAGCGTGGGGGTGTGCGTTCTTTTGGCCCACATAGGAAGTTTGGTGCCGTGTGCGGAGGCCGAGATATCTTTGGTGGATTGTATTTTGATGAGGGTTGGATCGGACGATTCTCAATTGAAGGGGTTGTCCACGTTTATGCTGGAAATGGTCGAGACGACTGGTCTCGTCAGGGTAAAATTTACTTAATCTACTTGAGGGGCGTTAGAATTAATGATATGTAAATTCTAGAGTGCCACATCGAATTCGTTAGTAATTATAGACGAGCTAGGTAGGGGTACGTCAACGTATGACGGGTTTGGCATTGCTTGGGCTATAGCAGAGTAGGTTTTAAAACATAATTTCGATATTTCGATTAAAACTGAAAATGTTTTAGACATTTGGCCAAAGAGGTTCGATGTTTTTCCTTGTATGCCACCCATTTCCACGAAATAACCCATTTAGCTGAGATGATACCGGCGGTTCATAATGTTCATGTGACCGCTGTGACCACCGAAACCACGATAACCCCGTTATACCAAGTTCGCGAAGGGGTGTGTGATAGAAGTTACGGTATCCATTGTGCCAAAATGGCCGATTTTCCTCGTGATGTAGTAGAGGTTGTTTTTTGATCGTATTTTATTACCAGACCCTGGATTTTGATCGGGTAATTTTTTTTAGGATGCCGCAAAATATCTCGAAGAACTCGAAAACAGTAACGGTATGAAATATATTAGGGATTACGAGTTCAGTTTAAAAAAAAAGGAGATACAGGCACGAAAAATCAATTTTTCGTTTGTTCTTGGTTCTATTACAGTACAGTTGTTTTTAGGAAGGGGATGAACTAATTAACGAATTTTTGAGCAAATGTAGACAACTCAATGTTTCGGAATTATCGGACGAAGAATTAATCGCTTCAGTACAGAAATTAAAAGAGGAAATACTCAAGAAGAATAACATGTTCGTTAAAGGACTTATGAATTTATAATAATAAGTGTTTTCATTTGTCTTTTTACCAATTCATTTTTTTTTTGTCTTTTAAATAACCTAAACATTATTAAAAGTATTTTTTCGTATTATTTGTTGTTTCTATACGGTACATTATAACAATAACAATAATAGCAAGAATTATAAAAATTGGTGAAGTACAGTGTATAAGAGACTTAAGCTTCTTCGCTTTCTGATGGTGGTTCTTCGGCTGGTTGTGCTTGGGGTTCTACAGATATATACCAAAAAAAAAATAGTAAACAAGTATTTTATATTTTTTTTTGTGTGGATTTTACCTTCTTGTGCAGGTTGGGGCTCCTCTGCCGGAGCTGGTGCTTCAGTTTCTTCGGCAGGAGGTGCCGGAGCCTCTGCTGGAGCTTCCTGTGGCAATTCTGCTTCAGTTGTTTCGTCGATTGTTACTTCAGGTGCTGACGGTTGCTCTTGATCCATGTACGACTCTACATTAGTGACAGTTGTAACAATAATTAAGTATAACAAACGACAATCGATTTCGATTGTTTTCTATTGTCGAATAAGTACGTGTTTATTTACCTTCCGCTGCTTCTAACGATTCTTCAGGGGTTGGAACGGTGGCTCTTATAATGTCTGAAATTATTTCTCTCGCTGCTAGGATGCCGCTGGGCACTTCGTAGGGTAATTCTTCCTCCATTTCACCTTGTCCTTCCAAATATTCGTGACGTTCGCTTCTTTCGGTAGTTCTTTCAGATTTGGAGCTGAAAAGAAGCGTAAAAATGTATAAAAATTATTAAAATAAGGACTTATTACAATAATTCCATGTCCCAATAGAACTCTCCTTCTTCTTCCTCCTCTGATTCAACCGACTTCATGCTCGCTAGAGACGGGGTCTCGCTCAGCCTTTGGCTTTCTTCCAACAGTTTCTTGATCATCCTTCTCGTGTAGTATCCTTTGTACGCCGCCTGAATTTTTAATAGACAAGTTGATACTTACTTTTTTAAAAGTAGAATTACTTAAAAAGTATATACTTTTATCATGGTGGCTGCCCTATTGGCTTCTTCGTAAGTAACACCGGTTGATCTGTACAAACGTATTGCACTCCTTGCGGCTATCCTCCAGTCGATTATTCCCGACAGAAGGTATTTTTCCCTCTCGTGCTTCCTCTTGAAGTCCCTCCAAGCCCTCTGAATAATTTCGGCAGCCGCCTCCGCCTGATCCGGAGTTATTCCTGCTTCAGTTATTATGTCAGTAAGAAGATTCGCTTCTTCGATTTGATCTGAAATTAACCCCGAAAACATTTTCCGATTTCTGAACGCGTTACTGATTGTTTACCGCTTATTTCTTTCTGGTAAGTTTTTTTCTCTTCCAAATATTGACGAAAAATTTTCTGAATGATCGAGGCCGTTCTGTCAGCTTCTTCCCTGGTCATCCCGATGTTGACCAGCAAGTTTACGATGGTCAGTGCGATCTCCGTAAGACTTTGTACCACCTTTGCTGCAACTGCAAATAGTTTGTGACTAATATCTTCATGATCATTATAGATGCATGAGTGTATTACTGTTTATAACCGAATAGAATTCTGGAGTTAGTAGACGCATAACTTGCGGTATGTTTTTTGGTATCAGCATTTTTTTCGTTAATTAAAAGCTTACAAAAAAAAAACGTAAAAAAAAAAACAAAATGTCAAATTGAATAATGACTACAACTACCGTTATTATTTATTCTAGTGCGTAACTATTAAGTAGATACCTCTGGCATTTTCTCTTGTTATCATTAAAGCATCTAGATAATCGGCCACAAATATGTAAATGTTTTCGGGATGCGTTCTAATTACCTTTGGAAAGATAACGATCGTTGAAAAAAGTAAAGGATTATACTGAACAAAAAATACTTCTCGAGATATGTCCGTCATCAGTTCCCTGAGTCCTTCGGGAACGACGTAAATAAATTTAGCGCAATGCCTTTGGAGCATAACATCCATTTTTTACACTTGGTTGATGTTCCTTTAGAAAATTTAAGAAAAGTTCGACTGTATTATAAAAATCAATATTTTTAAGTACTCTCTAGATTGTCATACTAATGTCTTTGATTCATTTACGCAATTTGAAACAAATCCACGATAATTCTATTTACGTAATTAATTAATTAATTGAAAGTTCGTTTTTAAAATTCTCTTTACTAAGTACATGTAAAGTAAATTCAACTTTTTAATATAAATAAATATATCACACAAGTATTTTACCGGCCAACCCCGATAACATTTGAGTAACTTTTGTTTTACCACAATAATAGTGACATACGAGAATCGCAAGTCATTCTTCGTGTTGTAGTGTCATCAGTTAGAGGTGGTGCTTGTTAATCTACACAAAAATGTCTAAAAAGGTGAATAATCCGCAAGTAGAAGAGGTAAGTTACGTATAAATCAGTTCCCGTTAAGTGCATACAGAGTGTTTTTGTATTACAGTCCGAAGAGGACAAAGAATTACAGGAAGAGTTGAAAATGTTAGTTGACAGGATAACTGGTACCGATCAAAAACTGATCAAACCCGCCCTGAACATGCTTCGTACGTTGATTAAAACTTCGACAACTTCGATGACATCGGTTCCAAAACCGTTAAAATATCTGGGCCCGTATTATAACATAATAAAAGCGAACTTTAAAAACATCGAAGATGCGGATACCAAAAAGCTGTACGCCGATATAATTTCCGTGCTCGCAATGAGTCCCACGGGGGGCGACGATGCCAAGCAACAGCACGATTGTCTCCGATATCGTCTTTTGGGCCACATGAAGAACGTGGGCAGTTGGGGACACGAATATGTCCGTCAACTGGAAACGGAAATCGTTGAACAGTGGTCCATTTGTTCGGACAGCGGCCCCAAATTGATGCCTCTCGTTCAGGACATCGTCAGTTTCGACTGTAACAATCACGCCGAGATCCAAGCTTGCGACGTTTTGATGGAAATCGACCGATTGGAAATATTACCGAAATACATCGACAACGGCACGTACCAAAGGATCTGTTTGTATCTGATGTCCTGTGCCAAGTACGTGGACGACGTCGAGGCGACCAAAATATTGAAAATTGTCGCCGATCAGTACAAACGATTCGAGGAGTATCCGAGAGCTCTGGTGGTCGCCCTTCAACTGCGCGACAAGGAAATGGTCGACGGGTTGTTCGCCGACTGCAAGGACCCGATTATCCTGAAACAGATGGCCTTCATAGCTGCCAGACAGCTGCATCCAGTCAATTACAGGAATTCGGTCGTCGACCAGGAAGAAATCGGCAACATTTTGAGCAACAACTATCTGAATTCTCACTTTGTCGCTCTGGCGAGAGAACTGGACATTTTGGAACCGAAAACCCCCGAAGACGTTTACAAAACTTGGCTCGAACCCCAGCCCGTGCGTCCTTCGATCCTCGGCGAGAACCTGGACAGTGCGCGTCAGAATTTAGCCTCGAGTTTCGTGAACGGGTTCGTGAACGCGGGTTTCGGAAGCGACAAACTTCTAACGACCGACACCGGGAACAAGTGGATCTACAGGAACAAAGACCACGCAATGCTGAGCACGACCGCCGCTTTAGGCCTTATCCATTTGTGGGACGTCGACGGAGGCCTGACGCCTATCGACAAATATTTATATTCCGCCGACGAAAATATCAAAGCTGGAGCCTTGTTGGCAATCGGGATGGTCAATTGTCGTGTTAGTAACGAGTGCGATCCCGCTCTGGCCCTTTTGGCCGACCATGTCAACGACGAGAGTCAGAGTTTACGAATCGGCGCCATTTACGGACTCGGCATGGCGTACGCGGGCAGCGCGAGGGAAGACGTTCTCAATATTCTCGTTCCGGTGGTCGAAAGTGCGATCGGCACGGAAATTCTGGCAATATCATCTTTGGCAGCCGGTCTTGTGGCCGTTGGCACTTGCAATGCCGCTGTAACGAACGCGGTTTTGTCGAAATTGGTGGACATCCGCGAATCGGAAACGCTCAAGTCGCCATTGATGCGACTGACGGTCCTCGGGATGGCCCTGTGCTACATGGGCCGCAAAGATTGCATCGAAACGCCGAACGCGGCACTCGAAGTCTTTACCGAGCCGTTTAAAAGCACCTCGCAACTCCTTCTGCAAATGTGTGCTTATGCGGGGACCGGAGACGTCCTCGTCATACAAGAACTATTAAGGGTGGTAAGCGAAAGAATCGCGTTACCTGACGACAAAGACGGACTGACGAAGTCGCCTTCCGGCTCCAGCGGTGCCATACCCACCGTTGGCGTTACCGATATAACCCAACAGCAGCAACAGTTATACAACCATCCCCTTCAGCAACCCCCTAGAAAGAAAGCGAAGATCAGAGAGTGGGACATGAGCATTCCGCAGGCCGTCGCCGCACTGGCCGTTGCGGCCGTGGCCGTTGGAGAGGAAACCGGCACGGAAATGTGCCAGAGGGTTTTGGGTCACGTGGGTCGTTACGGAGACCACGGGGTGCACAAAGCGGTACCTCTGGCGATAGCTCTCACGTCCGTTTCAAATCCGCAGCTAACGGTTAACGACGTGCTTACAAAATATTCGCACGATTCGGACGACGAAGTGGCCGCGAACGCGATATTCTCCTTGGGAATCGTCGGCGCCGGTACCAACAATGCAAGATTATCCGCGGGCTTAAGACAACTCGCGGTTTATCATTCGCGCAATCCGACGCCCCTGTTTATGGTCCGGTTCGCGCAGGGCCTGACCCATATGGGCAAAGGCACCTTAACGATCAGCCCTCTTCATCACGACAGGCAGCTGATCGACCCGTGTGCCATGGCAGGATTATTGATTACCCTCACGGCCCTTTTGGATTCGCGCGCTTTGATTAACGGTAAAAATCATTTTCTTTTGTACGTCCTGGCGGTGAGTATGCAGCCGCGGTGGTTGCTGACCCTCGACGAAGAATTACAATCGACTTCGGTTCCGGTCAGGGTGGGACAGGCGGTGGATGTGGTTGGTAAAGCAGGCACCCCGAAAACCATCTCTGGGATTCATACTCATACCACCCCTGTGCTTTTAGCGGCCGGCGAAAGGGCCGAAATAGCCACCGATCTCTACGAACAAATGAGCCCTACGTTAGACGGGGTTTGCATTTTGAGAAAAAAGAAGCTCGAATGAAAGAGTTATCTATCGCTTTTCCGTTTGTAATTGCGCGAAATTCTATAATCAGTATTAATTAATAAGCGATAATGTTTGTGTTTGTGTTTGTTATAAATAAAGTTTCTTCATTCAGCAGATGAATTGTTTTATTGTATTACGATATAACTTACTAATTGATAACGTTCGTCAGTTGATTATGTAAATAGTAAAATTTATAGTGTTCCAAGTGATTAAAAAGTGTTTTAATTTTATGTGATCATAAATTAACGATGTCTCGTCAAACCAAGCAACCTACTTATTCGTCGTCTTATTAGTTGTCGTACTAAACAATTTCGGTAATGTTTTTAACGATTATTAGTGACTATTATTCTTGTCTTATGTGAGTAACTGTAGCCTACGGTCTGTACGTCGACATTTGCGCGTTTGTCGTGTTCTGTGTTGCGCTTATATACGCTTTCAGTTCGGAAAATTTAGTTTGGTCGGGTCTGTTTGCTCATTCTCTTTCGCGAACCATTTTTAGAACTAAAGAGCCATCGAAATCCACCCACAGCTCTTCTTAAATCCTGTAATCTATAATTAAAAGTATATGCGGTTGGGATATACAAACCCCCTAGCAAACGTTTCGCGGAAAACATTGTTGTACGTATAAAATACATTACAATAATGATAAAATCGCGATGACTCTATTCTAACTCTGGTGCTTGCTTGTGTTGTGTGGTGTTTTGTTTTATAGTCTTGTCGTTTAGTTTTACGATTAGTGGGAAGATGTGACTCGACACGATAGGATAGGCTTTGTGTTGGCTTGCACTTGTTTCAAATTTTAATGAGTACATTGCTCTACAACTACAGACTTAGCGGATCAGTCGGAAAACCCGTTTTTTTTTTGTTTAATTTAAATGCTGAATTTGTTGCGTTGAACCCTGTGTTTGTTTGAGGATATCGCTGCGTGAAAAGCTACACGTATTATCATGAGGCTGTTCGCGATAAGGTTCGCGGTGATCTTGTTTTGCCAGAAAGTCGTGTTATCGGAGTTGTACACAGCTTTGGTGGATTTAAAGGAAGTGCTGTATACGGAGGGTGTTTTGATAAAAACTTTGGAAACCTATATCCATGCCGAGACGACGAAATTAAAGTTACTCCAAAGGTACGTCGATTTGTACAAGAGTCAACATCAACTGGCGTCGGAGGACGTCGACACTTACGTTGCCAACCCCATTAATGCCTATCTGTTGATTAAACGATTGACCGCCGATTGGAGACAAGTCGAATCTCTTTTGCATATGAATTTAGTGCAAGAAACCGTAGCAAATATTTCAGCATATAAAGAGTATTTAAAGTTTCCAACGGACGAGGACCTCAACGGGGCTGCTGTTGCCCTTACAAGGCTGCAGGTGAGAACAATCAATATTTTTTATACTAAAGTTACCATTTATTGCTGTTTTATTCTCGAGAATATTCCGGAATGTTCTGGAGAATACGAAATCAAGAAACATTTCAGAATCTTATTTGTTTTCGAAAATGATTTAAATATCTACAAATTATTATATAAAACTACAGATAATATCAAAAAAATATTACACAATAATTCTGGCGTATATATATTTCCGGATTTGTGTCTCAAGGAAGTGTTTTTTTTTATCTCTTGACTATTATATTTACTACATTTAGGCAATTTAATGATGGTAAAAACTAGTGAAAACAATTTCCAATTTCATGAGCTTTCTCTTTTCGGTCGTCTTTTGAACGAGCTTTTTATTTGTAAAACCATTGTTCTGTGTGAATTATGTCACTATGTTTATTTATAATTTATTATGAAACCCAGTACCAATCGCGATGTTTTCAATGGAATAAGTACCCAATGGTTAAAATCCATTAACTCTGGTATTGCACCAAAAAGTTATTAAAATCGGTAACAGGAAAGTCGCGCTTTTTTTTACTATAATTTGAATCTAAAACCGGTGATACAGTGCCAACAAACTACACTTCCTTTGAATATTTTAATATTTAGTTATTATTAGTGTATAACTAACGGAATATTATTATGTAAATATCATATCATCGAACTTTAAAGGAAAACCTTCGTAATTTGTTTTGAAGGATTTTAACTGTCGTAGTTTTATGCGAAAACTTTCAAAAATGAAATCATCACAATATAGTTAATAGTAATAATAGCAGACGTCATTGAAATTGTATTCTATTCATTAATTAATGTATTTTTATTACATAAACTCGTTACCATTGGCGTAACAGTCTTGTTATGTAAATAATAATTATAAATTAAAGTATGAGTGCTCCTTTTTTTGCTTCAAGAAGTACTTAACTGCAAAAATACATCGAGGTTTGTAATCCTTTTGATGTCTAATATTTTTTACCATATCTCCTTCCTTATCATTACGTAATAATACTCTTAATTATTAAATTTCAATTTTAAGGATACTTATAAACTTGATACTTCATCGTTGGCTCGGGGTGAACTAAATGGCGTGAAATATAGTTCAGAATTAAGCGCGACTGATTGTTTCGAATTGGGGAGACAATCGTACAATAACGGGGATTTTTATCATACCCAATTGTGGATGACCGAAGCCGATTCTAGATTGGGCAGGGAAAAAAATGAGACAATCGATAAAAGTGAAATCCTGGAGTACTTGGCGTTTTCAACGTTTAAACTGGGAGACGTACCATTGGCCCTGGATTTGACCAATAAACTTTTAGAAATCTATCCCAATCACCCCAGGGCAGTGAACAATAAAAATTATTACGAAAGTGCTTTAGCTAAAACGCAAGGGGCCCATAAAAAGGGAGACGATAACGCTTACGATGTACCCATTGTTAGTGACATGGTAGGTAACGTTTCGTAATCTATTCGTCCATTACTCATTAGTAAATTTATTACCTTTAGATAGTTTGGTACTTGTAAGAGTTTAATGGCACTTTTTAAACATTTTATCGTAACTTTTAACGTTATACGTACATGTAAATTGTTTATTAGCCTTAACTATCAATGGCTCTAGGCTTTTCTCTGCAATAGAACTTAATTAGCGTTTGATTTATGTTAATCAATTGATTGAGGTTGTTAGCCTTTTTTGCCTTTTGTATAAAGAAAATGCCATAAGTACATTTACGTTTGTTTGAATGCCTTTTTTTATCATCCATGGCACCTGCGGCATATCATGACTGCTCTGTCAGAGAAGATGTGCAATGTTCTGATGCAACTAACTATTTATTAATTGCCTTAAAGGTTAATGTGTTATTGTCTTTCTGCTTTCGTGTATAGTACAACTAGTATTTACTTGATGTAAAAACTGCCATTTACGTTCGAAAGTACCATTTTGTATGTAATTGTTCTCGAGAAATTTATCTATCCTGTCTTCAAGATTCACGACTCACTTGGTGCCATTTATATACCTTCCTCAATAACTTTTCGAAATTTATTTCTCTCGCTTTGTAATAATTTTTTTTTACCTTTCTGGTTTAACATTTATTGATAGAACATGGCGTTTGTGACACGTAAATATTAGTATTTTTCCTTTTTAGCCTGTTTATTCAGACAGTTTAGACCCCCCTGAAAGAACTTTATACGAGCAATTATGCAGAGGCGAAGTCAAAACTCCAGTAGAAATAACTTCAAAGTTAAAGTGCTATTATTATAACAAAAACAGAGATCCGTTTTTATTATTAGCCCCTTTTAAAGTTGAAGAAGCCTATAAAGATCCTGATATATTCATCTTCCATGATGTCATGTACGACGAAGAAATAGAAACGATTAAAAATATGGCAAGGCCAAGGTACCATTTTTTTTTTAATTTAATTATTTTACTTCCAGTGGCATTTGTTACTAATTATTTAGGTGTAAGGATGTTATAAAAAATATTTTCAGGTTTAAAAGGGCCACTGTCCAAAATTACAAAACTGGCGAGTTAGAAACCGCCCAGTATCGTATTAGTAAGTCCGCATGGTTGAAAGAAATCGAACACAAACACGTTGCGAATGTGTGCAAGAGGGTGGTCGATATGACTGGATTAACTGTTGAAACAGCAGAAGAATTACAGGTGGTTAACTATGGAATAGGGGGACATTACGAGCCCCATTTTGACTTCGCCAGAAGGGACGAAGTGAACGCGTTTAAAAGTTTGGGAACTGGTAACAGAATCGCGACAGTATTATTTTACGTAAGTTACCTTGTCTGATTAATGAATGTCTTTTAATTTTTTCGTAATTTAGATGAGCGACGTTGCCCAGGGGGGTGCGACTGTCTTCCCCCATCTTAAATTGGCACTGTGGCCTAAAAAGGGCACCGCTGCCTTCTGGTACAACTTGCACAGCAGCGGCGATGGCCACATTCTTACAAGACATGCTGCATGTCCTGTTTTAGCAGGATCTAAATGGGTCTCGAACAAATGGATCCATGAAATGGGACAAGAGTTTCGAAGGCCTTGCGATCTACAACCACCCCCTCCAGAGCTCACAATATAAAAGTTTCTCTCAAGGGTTCGATTTCCTTTCTCTATTTTTATCTCTTAGCAAACGTAAAACATTCGTTTTGTTCTATTACTTTACCATTTTTTGTATAAAGTAATTATGATACTTATTTAAATAATTTTTATTAAAGCTATTTACCCCCTACTTAAAACTGCCAGTAAACGCCGAGATATTTTATATTACGTAAATGGTGATTTAGCAATTGTGATTGAATTTGATTGATACTGAATAGACTTTAAGGAATATTTAAAAATGAAGTTATTAACTTTACCAAATAATCATTCAAATTCCTCGTAGAGAATGTAATCGTATTTTATAACAACTTTTACTAGTATGCCATAATAAATAAAGTTCAAGTAAAAGTTAAACTTTTTTCGTTGCCTTGTGTGGGTGTATAAAAATATAAAGAAGAGAAAAATACTTGTTAATATTATTTATTAAATACACTGATAATTTAATCACATCGTTATATCATATTTTGACCCTTTCGGCAGCAAAATTGCCCACAAAAAAAATATCGTCGTATAATTAATAAAACAAATTACAAAATTGCTCGCAAAAAAATATCGCCGTATAATTACAAAAATTTGTTATATCTGGATGATAATAATAATAATAATAGAGTTAATGCAATAAGCAGTTAAAAGTACGATATTGTTCTATTGGTATCTATATATTTAGCCTACACTTGCTGAAAAATAATTATGTTTTACATTGGCCCTAATTATTAATACATGCTATTCCAAAATTGTCCTCCCTTGAACATTAATTTATTAATTCACGCTTTGCCCAATTCTTTCCCGTTTTCAGATGATCTTGATCGAGATCTTGATCTCCTTTTGGATCTTTCTTTCTGAGATTCAAATGAAGTTGACGTTGATCTTCTTGTTGAAGAAGAGTCAGGTGAAGATTCGGGAGATGTCTTTCCTCTTTTTTTCTTTTTACTAGTGGTGTGCAACGATGAAGAAGACGAACGGCTTGTTGTTGATGTTAAAGATACCGGGGATCCTGAACGGCTCCTAGACGAAGATTTCTTAGATCTGTGTGATGCATCTGAACTTACAGATCTTGGCCTTTTAGTATTTCTGTTTCGACATTTGCTGGCCCTGCTTGAAGAACTACTACGAGAATATCTTGAAGGACTTCTGGATTTTGCTTCCCTTTTTATCTCCAACCCTTCTATAGATTTGGACCTTCGCGAAGAACTTCTAGGAGTGCGCTTTCTTTTTCTTTTTGATAAACGACTTGTAGACCGTGAACGACTTCTCGACTTGGACTTCTCTTTTTTTGAGCTAACAATGCTGCTTTGACTTTGAGACCTTGACTTTTGTCTGGAGTAGCTCCTTTTGCGTCTATTATACGGAGAGGAGGAAGAAACCGATCTAGATCTTGTTTTACGTCTTCTGGAAAAAGGGGGACTCCTTCTTGAACAAGACTGCCTTCTTCTAGAGGATGGAGATCGAGAAAGACTCTTGGATCTACCCATTCGTTTCTTACGATTGGGTTTCGATCTAGAGCGACTTCGAGATCTAGTAATGCTCCTTCTTCTGTGAGGGTATCGCTGTTTTTTCATACTTTTCGCAATAACACGTTTTTGGTGGTCCAATTGCGGGAAAAGATCTGAAAAACAATACGTTACTTAATTAAGATAATAATTAAAGTAGAGGTTCTTTGTACCTTTGGAAATTTCGAGTGCTTTCTTAGCAGCGTTCATTTCTGCTTGTTGGATGCTGTGTCCCATGGCACTAGCTAATCTTTTGCCCCTAAAGTATACAGCTACAGTATAGACTCTAGTATTGGTAGGTCCTTTACATTCAATAACTCTAAAAGAGATAAAAATCATCACAAAAAATACTCTACTGACAAAATTGGACATACTTATAGACAGGAATATCTGGTTCTCCTCCATCCATGGTACGAAGAGTAAGACAACACTGCTGGAGTTTTGATTTCGGGTCATTCCAATCTTGATTCATAATAAAATCTTGCAATCTTGGAAACAGCGTGACCTGACAAAAAACTTGACAATACTCAAGTCCCTGAAATTAATAAAATTAATTACTTTAAGAAGAAAAGGAAGTTCAAGTGTTACGAATACCTTATCAACGTATAGGGCTCCTATAAAAGCTTCCAACAAATCTGCTCTATCTTTAGTTTTCAATTCTGCTTTAGGGTTGTTATAAACTGCATAATTGGCCATTCCTAAGTCATCACACACTACGGCTTGGGTTCTGTTATTTACCAATGAACTTCTGAGTAACTAGAACGAAAAAAGTTTTTCTCATTGACCCTTTAAAAATTTTGTACAATGTCTTACTGAGAGATGTCCTTCGTGATGTTCAGGGAAAAATTTGTAGAGATACTCGGAGGCTATCAACTGCAAGACCGTATCGCCCAGGAATTCAAGACGTTGATTGGACCCCAGGGTGAGATTCGTGTACCCTACACTCCTATCAGTGAATCCCCTGGCCAGTAACCTGATATGTATGAACTCTACTCCAATGGAATTTTCAAATTCTGTTAGTTTTTGTAGCAGTTTAAACTTAGGGATCCACTCCCTGTCTCCTTGGGGTTCTTGCTCTTGAAGGGGATGTGGAGGAAGATTCTGCCACACCGCCAAGAGGTCAGAACGTTCTTTAAAGAGTGTTTCTGAGAAAACTCGATCAGCCACCTGTTTAAAGTCACTATCTAAGAAATAAAAAAATAATAAAAAAGACAAGTAACAACCTCTATGGCTCCATCCAAGAACAGAGCTCCCATTAAGGCTTCAAAACAATTAGCCATTGCATGTCGCAATTCTAAATCGTGACATAAATCTGATCCATGAGCATACAGCATGTAATGGTCCAAATTCAAGGTTCTGGCAAGGACTGCCAAGTGTTGATTTTGGACTATCGCTGCTCTGTATGTGGCCAGGCCCCCTTCTTCTAGATCAGGAAAGGTGTAGAATAAATGGATCGAAGATAAGAACTCCACTACCGCGTCCCCCAAGAATTCCAATCGTTCATTATGTGTTATATTAGATTCAGTCTCTTGCTTCTTTCCGAAACGACTCATTATATTTATGAGAGTATTTATCCCTCTTTTCCTTGTATTCATGTAATGTATCCTCCTGTCTCCATACTCTGGTTGCCTTATCCCACAATTAGTTAATGTATTCCTGGCGTGATCAGGATTAGTTCCAAAGTTTTCTCTGTACGAGGGATGGGTTAGAGCCAATTGCAAGAGTCCTCTGTTGCTAAACCTGTAATTTATAGTGTCTTCTAAGACGCTTAATGAATTGTGGAATCGTAAATGGCATACAAGTACGGGAATCAACATAGCATGCTGAAAAATACATGAATTACTGTCTGTAATTTTACCAGATATTTATTTTATTATAAACCTGAACAATATCACACATGATTCCAGTACGATAAAAACCTTCTGCAGACACGGCAACAGTAACATCACGTTTCATTTTGCTCTGCGTCCTCATTTCTTGCAACTTATTCTCTTTGGCTTCAAGCTTTCGTTTGTCTTCGAACGTCGGTTTGGACATATTGGCTAAAAGGTGACGGAATTTGACATAATCTCGCCAGGCTTTTTGGTATCTGAGAAATAGCAACTTGTTAGCTAGAGATGTTACATAACGTGTACGCTCTTACTCTGGATTTCCAGCGTAACTGAGTTGAGGTGGACGAATACCAAAATGTACAATTTCAGGGAATTTGTAGTTGCCTTCTTCTTGTAAATCCAGATTACGATCCAGTTGGTCGACCCTTACAGAACATGGTTTCTTACCGGGATATGTTACCACCATTCCCTATAACAAACGATTACCATTATTCTTCAAATTTTTTACAGCAAAACGTCTTATAAATGCCTTGATTTCATCTGCATAACTCTGCCATTCGTATTGACTCATTTGAATCATACTTTCCAACTCGGTCTCTTTGATTAGAGGCACAGAGCTGTTCAACAAATACTGCAGTACCTCTTTCATAGACAGTATTTCTTTACCGTTGTCGGGTAGTTTTCTGGCAAAACGTGGCATAAAGTGGAATTGTGAGCACCCCGAGGAATCTCCCGCTGCTTTCAAATCTAAATCAACCAATTCCAGAATCTCTTTAAATAAATATTCATCTAAAATTAGTAGACTCATATGATGGAAAAGTTCATCAAAAAAGATCGCACTAATTACTTACAGAACAAATCCAGTTCTCTGATTGTAAAATTATCTGGTATTTTTTCCTCTATGTAAAATATTGTATATTCTATGTTGAATCTTATTACTTTACACGTTGGTAATTTTATCAGAGGCTTATGAGACAGCATGGAGAAGCCTTCGAATATGAATTCGTGCTCGTCGTGTTGTATAATAGTCGGAGTTTTAATGAGAAAATTTGTTGGGGGTGAAATTGTGATCCGGTAATGATACAATTTGTCAGCATTGTTAGTGTCTAAATCGCATTTCTCTTGAAAACGTTCTCCGGCGTATATTCCGTGTCTTATTCCCGTTTTACGAGCTTTCCTGGAACATCTGCACAAGGGACCATCATTCATCTCACCCACATCATTGTACCTATGGGATAAAGTTAAAAATTCGAGAAACCTTTTTATAACAACAATATGGAATATTACTTACCACATTTCAGGATGTAACCTGTCTGGGTGCTGCTGTTTCCTGGTGAGCTCCTCCATACTGCAGTCTTCTTCATCAGTGAAGTCTTCATCTGAACTTCCTGAACTACTATATTGTTCAGCTAAAAAAGTCCTTACAATTAAGTACAATTAATTTTATATGTATGTCATCATAATACAAAATTTATTTGCAATAGTAATCCATTTATACTAATAGCTTACATTTATGTTTGCAAATTCTGGCCCTATTTTTTCTTGGGGGAGGCTCATACTTTGGCTTTAACTGATTAACCTTTTTAGCTCTTAATACAAGAGTTTCTTCAAAATTGTTACATATTTCTATTAGCTTTGGTGTTGCTTTAATAACTTTAGGATTATTTTCGTCCCTTGCATAATATAAGTCAGCCGGTGTTGTTCTGGTCCAAATAAGTTTCTCTTGCTCCAAAATGTCTTCTTTAGACAGCTCTTTAATTTTATTACAAACTTCTTCTCGAGTAGCACAATAATTCTTTCTCCAATTTTGCAAAATTTGTTCCCTTTCTGTTGTTTTGGAGGGGCTCCTGGTTGAGCTAATCTTTCTTTGGGGGCTGCTACTTCTTGATCTATTGTCCCTGCATGAATTACTAGTAGCTACAGTATTTTTGTAGTCGTTTTTCTTTTGAAATGATCTAGATCTAAATGACTGGAAATTTTTGTATCCTCTTAGATTATTGATAGGTGATTTGTCCCTTTGATAGGGGGATCTTGACTTCTGATAAGTGTTATAGCTGCCAGAAATGGGTTTATTGTTCCTCTTAGTTCTTGAATCTGATGCACCAAAGTCGTCCAGGTTTGATTTAGTAGTATATCTCTTCTCAAGTTCATTTTTTCTGGTTTTATATGATTCAAGTTCATCTTTAAAATTATACAGTGGCTGACCGTTATTGATTAAATTTAAAAAATCAGCACATTTTTGTTCAATTCCACTTGCATGATTATTTTGGGTGAATGATGAATTAGGTGCACAGTTATAATTGTTGTACCTTTCCTCATAATTATTATAACTTGATTGGGGGTAATTGGAGTAACCTGAATTTATATCATAGTTACCACGAAAATAATTGCCTGTATATGGGGCTGTATTAACGAGTACTGGTGGTGGTTCATTCAGATTCGGTAAAGGACATACTTGAGCCGTATTCTGCAGTTCGGGGGGCCAATAACCATAACTACCTTGAGTAGGCTGATACTGATAGTTTGCATTTGGATGTGAAGGTGGAGGACGACTGAATTGGTTATGGTGAAACCAGTTATTGGCCATCTAAAAGTTTAAGGCAATTTCACAATTAATAAACTACATTTATAATTGTCAATTTACAATTTACAACACTTCTTCATGCACACAACATTTAGGTTAGGGTTTCTATGACATTTCAAAAGTCTTTTAGGTGGCAGTTCTCATTCAGCTGAGCTGCAATGTTTTTGCATGAATGAAATGTCATCTTGATGGGTTTTTCTTATTAATTTCCTATAAATATTTGTCAACATATTTTATTGATATCACTTAAAGTTATTTTGAGTATTTAGTCCAAAATTAAACGGAAAATTTAGTGTTTTAAAGTGATAGTGAAAGTAAGTTTTTAATCGATCGTCAGAACAAAGCAGCTGACTCAAACGTCAAAATTGGTCAAAACAAATGTAATTATGGTCCATTTTGAACTTTTATTTTGCTTTTTAAAGAAAATCTTGTGAGAATGGACTGAAATGCACGACAACTATTGTTATAAGTGATGGGTGAATTCGTATGTGAAGGCTTTGAGTTTTTTGGAAATTTTGATTCTGCTAATATTGCCAAAGTAGAATTCGTTCCTCCCAATGAGAATACAGGTAAGGTAATTTAATATCCTAGGCTTCCTTACTCATGAAGCACCCATATAACAGTTGCATCAACCGCAAACAGTGCCAGACAAAAACATGTAGAGCAACCAGACATTGAGTTTAACATTTGGACAAAACCTGACTGCTGTGGCACTGAATTTGAAAACGCTTATCGAACATGGTTTCATTTTGGGATGAAAGGTTTGCCACTTATTGAAATTATAAAAGGAAATGATGGTTCACTCTTTTACTTGCAGCAAATACTCCATCTTCTGTTTTGGTCAAAATAAACATGGTAGATATAAACAAACAGCAAAAGATGTATGGTCAGGGCATGTGTCCAGTTTACAAGGTCATTCCCGGGAAGGCAAACTGGGAAAGAATACATGACAAGCCCATATACAATGTATTGACTGTTGGAAACATATTAGTGCATGCTTACAGTTTTTTTTTTTGTAGAATGATGACAGAAGTTTGTCTTTCAAGTACAAAACACCTGAGAATCCAGAGAGTATAACTTATTTTGCCTTCACCTATCCCTTCTCTTATAATGACATACAAAACTCTCTCAGGACTATTGATGCAAAGTATTTAAGTGCATCTGGCCATAATGATGATATTTATTACTATAGAGAATGCCTGTGTTACTCTCTAGAAGGCAGGAAGGTTGATTTGCTGACAATTACATCATATTACAATATTAGCAAAGAAAGGGAGACGAGATTGAAACACTTGTTCCCTGAAACACATCTTGTCAGACCATTTAAATTTACAGGGAAACCTGTGAGTGCCTGGTCCTAATGACCCTAGATTTTAAATAACTTTTTGCGTCTCAAATTTCTTTCAGATAATATTCATATCGGCTCGCGTGCATCCAGGGGAAACCCCTGCAAGTTTTACATTCAACGGTTTCTTAGGGTTGCTGTTGAGTCGAGAGGATCCAGTGGCTGTGACCCTTCGACGTTGTTACGTCTTCAAATTAATTCCCTGTCTCAATCCCGATGGGGTGGCCAGAGGACACTATAGGACCGACACTCGTGGTGTCAACCTCAATCGCATGTACCTGAATTGCTCCATGGAATTTTCTCCCTCGATATACGCTGCCAGGGCACTAATTCGATATTACCACTATGGGGTTGAGAAAGATGATGCTACACTGAGGGCTTGTATGTGCCAAGCTGGAGGGAACAGGGAGATGGGGAAAAGCTCCTCGCAGGCCTCGCTAAGTGAGGGAGAAGTCGAAGATGCGGGTAGCAGGAAATTCTTCTGTTGCGATGGTAACTTGTATTGGGGGGAGGGGGAGTAAATGACATAGCAGCATTAGAGTTGACTTATTGTATTGCATTTATTATTAATTAATAATTGTTTCTGTGTAGCAATAAAAAACTGTTGCACGAAGTGCGGGACTCCGTTGGACAACACGAGCATGGCGATGGGAGACAGTATCGAACAGGGGGACCAAAATGCGAACGTGTCCGGTCTATTTTTGTACATCGACATGCACGGACATGCCTCGAAGAAGGGAATTTTCATGTACGGCAACCACTTTGAGTCGATCGACAAAAAAGTCGAGTGCATGTTACTTCCGAAATTAATGAGCATCAACAATTACAACTTCCACTTCACCGCATGCAATTTCACCGAGAGGAACATGTACATAAAGTAATACGAACCCCGTTACTCTAACCTCAAATATTACTATGTAATATCTATTTTCTAGGGACAAATTCGACGGTTTGAGCAAGGAAGGTTCGGGAAGGGTTGCCGTCTATAAGCTTACGGGCCTGGTGAAGAGCTACACCCTCGAGTGCAACTACAACACCGGTCGTCTGGTCAACGTTCTGCCTGCCATGATTCGAGAGAACCCCAAAGCTCATGGTTTCGTCAACGCGCCCCCCAAATACACCCCTCACATCTTCGAAGAGGTAAGGAAGGTAAAGAAGGCATTTGCATTGCCCTTCAAGAGTAAATTAATGAGCAGATTTAATTCGGAACTACGTTAGGAGTAAGAGTAGCTTTTAGGATCTGAATCAAGAGTAGCCTTTAGGGTCAGGACTGAGGGCGACTTGTCTGATAGTATTTTTCGTTTGTTTAGGTGGGGAGGGCGTTGGGGACGTCGATCTTGGACCTGACGGGCCAAAACCCGATGACCCGCCTGCCCAATTCCGAATTCCGTTCGATCATGGGCCTTCAGGAGTGGTTGTATCTGCACTGCGCCGGGGAATTGGGCGATCCGCGGGCGGTGTCCCGTTGGCGCGTGCGCCAAATGACCAGCCTGCATTCTCAGGTAGGCGAAAGCGACGACTGCCGCGTCCCCCCAACGACCGCTACCGATGGCGAGGAGGAACGCGACGTTCGACCTGTCGTTGGGGGCAGGAAGAACGTGCGCGGACCTCGCAAGGCGCCTAGACGGTCGGTCAGGGTCGCGAGGAGGGGGGGCGTGACGATAAAAACGGACGCCATCAGAGACGACGACGACGACGTTTCGGCTAACGAAAACGACTGCGATGTCGTCATCAGACAGTGCACGATCGGTTAATGCGAATGATTGGTTGGGAGAACGAACGAGAATCAAAATTTTCTTTTTATTCGGTAACTCTTGTGTGATATGTCGGCCGATTTAATTTGTTTGTAATCTGTTAGCTACATATGTGTTTATTTATGTATACGAAATTTTTTTGTATCGCTTCCACTTGCTTGAAATTAACCGAAGAGAAGTATTGAGGACGTTGGACGGTTTGTTAGCGTGCGTTTTGAGCGATTAATCTCATTATTTTATATTTTTTTAAAACAATTGGACGAGTGGGTGGGTGTGTACGTGTATGTGTGTGTGTGTCGATATTTTTTTTGTTTTTTGTTACTTGTTATTGGTTGTCAAAGACCAAATTTAAAGTACCGTGTCTTCCAGTGTCACCACTGCCTTGACATTCCGTTTGTATTTGTTTTACAAATTTTTTGATACGTTTTTACACCCCGTTTTTTCCTCGAGAAGGATCTGAGAAATTCTCGGTCCTTATAAGTAAGGTTTTATCCTGTTTGTACACTTCTACACTTGCCCTTATGTAACATATATTGCCTATTGATTGTTGCGTACTTACTCAAGACTGACTTTTATTAATTAAATTGTAATTTTCGAAACTGCAAAGTTGCTATTATCTTATTATTAAAAAAAATGAAAATGCAATAAACCATGACTTGATACACTAATCTTATTTTTTTTTTCTCTCTGATAGACATTAAAAAATTAGTGATTAAAAGTTGTCACGGCTTTGACGTTTAAATTTACAGTTAAAATCGGTTTAGGAAATTTGCAAGCAATTTGTGCCAATTACTGTTATTTTTATGTAAAAGGTAAGAAGGTGTGTTCTACTTTTAAGAACAAACGAAAATGTTATGTACAAACACCGATACTAATTTTTTTCAAAATATCGCCTTAGATTACTGTTAATCTTTCTCGTACCTGACCTTTTTAATTTTTATATTAACTTGTTAACAAATTGTAGCCAATACCTTTGGATAGTAGTAGTAATTTACGTTGAAGTTTTCCTATACAATTGATGCGACGTGTAGACAGTATCAAGACCAATCGATTCTTTGTAAAAGTTGAAAACATAAGTACAGCTTTTTGTTACGATCGTTAATTGTTTAGTTGTTAACAATTGCTGCGATTGTTTCAATTGTTAACGGCACTTGTTAAGTAATTAACAATTGCTGCAGCTGTTTGAATTGTTAAGGGCGATTGTTTTAGCACTTGTTTTGGTAAATCTTTATTTGTTAATTACTCGATAATTACTTATCGGATCGAAAAGCTGTAAAAGCAAATGTTTATTAGAATTCGACGGGGAATCGAACGGTGTAGACTGTACAGTAATCTAAAGTGATATGCAGAAAAGTGGTGGTCGCAAAAAAATTGTTCAGTTTACATTGACAAGACATTTTTGCAATTATTAATTGCTTCAGGCGAGGAACAACATCCGTGTGTTTAAAGCGCGCCCTAACAATCCGAAAGCGACGATAAAGCGCATTGTAAGCAAAAAACCCCTGCGTCCGACGTCAGTGCCGCCGAACCGAAAAGAGAACGTCGATACCAACGAACCCTCGTCCTCTTCTACGTCCATCCTCAAGTCCAAGAACAGAAACAAGCTTCTCAACACGGTCGTTCGCACGAAATTGTTCCGCAAAGATAGCAAAAGTGCACCCTCGACCTCTAGCATTGCAGCACAAACTGTCGCCAAGGTCGCCCGAAATCACATAGCGCGTAACATGGAGAACACCAAGTGTCTCCTGAAGAACCGTCTGAGACTGGACTCGGCCCCGAAGACCGACGAGTCCTCTAGAACGAGCCCCGATCGTATAAAATTGCACGAAATCCACTTCATAAAGGACGAAGAAGGGAAAAAGATGATCGCCAAATATAAACCCGCCGAAGAACAGCAACCCATGATGAACGACAGTCTTGTGGTGGCGTGGGAGGCTAACAGCAATCAGCCCCACGTCTTCTCACAGAAAAGTACCAATTTGAAAATATTACCGCCCCTGCCAGAGCCCGGAACCACGGCGAAAAAGGGCACGTTCAGGGTACACAATTTCAGCAGGGTCATAGCCACCAAGAAGAAGAACATGTTCAAGAATGCCAGTGACGTCAACATCAGAAGGGACAAGGTGAAGAAGAGGAAGTCTAAAACTAGTATGGGATAGAAAAAGTGAGAGAGTTTTCGTTATTTTATCATTTCGACGAATTGAAAATTAAGTTTGTATTAATGTCTGTTGTATTTTAATGTATTTCTTTTTTTTTTTTTTTTT